CGATTCACGCACTAGACTGTGCATGTAACCTATCACGATGGGGGGCGGGGGTGGAGGGGCCCGGTTGTGATTGGATAAAATACTGAAGTGGTTGGACTCTCATCTCACCAATTTCAATGGGCGTAAATAGGATTCAGAAGTACAGAATACAATTCTATTAGGCTGAGTCATAAGTAATTGCCGATTTGACAAAATTTTCAAAAGTTCACAACTTTCTTTTGAACCACCTTGGTTAAGTGCCCTATTTACCACAACTGTCTACAAGTGTCCTCTATCTATCCGCAGTGAATGGATACCTCTCCCGTTTTGAGGTGGTCGCCATCATCGTAGTTTTTCTCGTTAAGGAAACGAGCAAGCAAGCGGAGCAACTGGTGATTGGTTGCTATACCTCAGTGGATTAGAGTGGGGGAAAATCATGAGGCCAAGTTTCTGTATAGTATTCTGGCATTCTCTCGATACATGTGGGTTGCGAGCTGCCGGCAGTGGAACAATTTCATTCACTGTAAGCCTCAACTTTGCGATATCCGAAGCAAGTTTATCGAGCTGGTGGCAGTAGGTGTCTGCGCCAGCAGTGGTGGTATTGTTTGAAGTCTGTGATGAAGCAATCCTACAATCGGAGAGCGGAACCTACTCCGGGTGAAGTTCACCTATTGGGGCTCGTTGTCGCTGCTGAGCTGCACGTTCCCACTGATGCCTCCGTAGGTTGCTTGGCTAGACTGCGCACTCCTCAAACCCCAGTGACCCCTTGTCAAGCCGATCGAAACAACGGCTTTTATGCAGCAAACTTTGTGAGATGATCACACGTGTCCTTCGAGCCACCTCGTCCAACTCGTGAGAATTCCATCTTCCCAGCGTGTACAATTTCTCCATGGCTCAGAGGGAACGACACATGGTGCACTGGGAGGACTGAAGGTCTACTGCAGTTTGACGGGTGCTGGTACCGGGTTGCCTTCAAGAAGCTCTTGCATGCGTTCAATATCTACGGCCATTGGGTGTCCAAAACATGGTCGGTCTTCAGGGTTATAGTCGCCCTGGCGAAGCTTCCCGAACCAATTCAATAGATATTCTCATTTAGCGAGTCTGGTCCTCCAGATACACAAATATCCGACAGGCTCCTCTTGCTGAGTGCCCCAGGCGGAACTCGTAAAATAGACAGTGACGAACATGTGTTGAAGAGGACGGCATTATTTCTCCCAAAAGACGAGTACTGACGGTCAAATTTCGTAATATGAAAGGACACTTAGGTCGCCACATACTGCTCTGCGGGGAACAACACAAACATTTTTCCGAGAAAAATGGCGTGGGTCTGAAGAAATCGGCAATTACTTATGACTCAACCTAATAGAAGCGGCATGAACTGAGTTTTTCAGAACTTTCTTTGAAACCTAATATTATAAAATGAGACGGTTACCGGTAATTTTCATTTCTTAGTAACTACCCTGGCCAACA